TCAAGAAAAATGGCAGAGGAACTGACCCTTGGATGGTAAGTATGAGAATGTATTTCTCTTTGAAACAAGTTGAGGCAGACATGCTAGAAACTTATCCCTGAATAATTTGAGGTGAAATCATCATGTGCCATGAAATTCTGAGAATGGGTTGAACACCATTTAAAAACATTGTCTATGTACCATTTGAACCCACAAAACCCGCCTCTTGGGTTTTTTAGAATCTAATGGATCAGTAACCACAACAAAAATCCACTAGAAGAATGTGCCACAAGTGCTAAGGTGGAGGCACATGGAGTGTTGTGGACGATTCCACGCCCATGATTCGGGATCCCAGGGAAAATTTCTCATGTTTAAGATCAATCCCACGTCTGAAGATCAAGTGGGTGTTTAAAACTCCGTGGGTTATTTCAGGCACAGATTTCTGTAAGTCATACATTCCAGAAAGTAAAGGGCATATCATTGGGAACCACAAGTACTTCAGTCTGATTAGTACACGAGCCCAGGTGATACAAAGGAGACATGAACAGGAATTTAAGGGGTGTGCCTGTCATCGTGAAAAGCGACAGCTCACTAGCTAGAGAGTGATATTAGTTCAAGTAGGAGAAAATGTGACATGTTAAAGAAAGACCTCAGGGAGAAAAGGAACAAGGAGAAAGACAGAGATGGAGAGTGAGAGAGTGAATCCATCAATACTGAGAGGGAATATGCAATGGAATGAGGATGAATGACCTTCCAAACAATATGGGAAGGAGGCTGTGGCCTTAGAGGGAGGACAGAACCTGTTTATAGAAAAAAGGAGGGCAGAAAGAAAGGGCTATGGGCATTGGCACCTGTTTGAGGGCAGTAGGTGAGATTCTTAGGAAGATCTTTCCTGAGGATACTAACCCTGAGAGTAAAATGGAACATGGCTGCCCAGAGAGAAACTTGGGCTGTGGAGTTTGGGAGGATTGAGATGAGAAACGAATTTACTTATTAACATTGAGATGTGGATATTGTATATGATGTATGAATCACCCATACATTTCAATTGCTTGCATGGGGTCTTTCAGTTTTGAAAGCAGGCATATGAAAGAAATGATCCATGAAAAGATTTTCTCCAGATGTTTCAGGAACTCATGAATTTGATGAAAGTGGTTTGAGGAAAGGGTGGCTTTGGCTCTTGATGTAGTTAAAGACAATGAAAAGGGCTTCCCTGGTGGCGCAGTGGTAGACAGTCCGCCTGCCAATGCAGGAGACGCGGGTTCGTGCCCCAGTCCGGGAGGATCCCACATGCCGCGGAGCGGCTGGGCACGTGAGCCATGGCTGCTGAGCCTGCGCGTCCGGAGCCTGTGCATACCGCAAAAAAAAAAAAAAAAAAACAATGAAAAATAAGTGAAGGAAGGAGGAATACATTGATTTCTTAGAAGATACGAATTTAGGATGGATGTAGCTTCTTGGGAGAGAACATGAATCAGAGCAATCTAAATGCGGTTGAAATCCATCTCACAACAGTTCTACGTGTATCGATATGGAGACATGATTAGGAAAACTTATCAGATGGTAACTCCATTTCTTCAGGAGGAAGAAAATTACTACTTAGGGAGTATTATAAAAGAAAGCCAAAAGATTTGTAAGCAAATCAGAAAAAGACAAGAGGAAATGAGTGGTAAGAAGACAGACCTCAAAGTAATATACAAAGAGCTCATGAAAATGTCCTATAAACCAGATGTGGAGCTGCTCCAGGTAAGAACTGAGGACTGAAAATATTTTATCTGAAGCTCACACCTTCAATGACCATTAAATGGTACCAGGGGGATATTTATTCATCTCTTGCATCCTAAGGTGGGAGTCTCTCCTAGTTGGAAATATTATAGATGAAATGCAACTCATCCAAACCATGATTGAGCAAGCTTTACAGAATTGTTATTATGGAGACTCCCCAGGAATATTCCCTTCTCAAAATCTCCTTTTGTAGCTTGCTTCTGTCAAAACCAGAAAGGAGCAACTTATGTATTGTCATTCAGTTTTTTGATCTCCAGCTGGGCAATGGGAGAAACTTGTCAAAAGCTCATATATTTCCACCTCCTGTTGGGATATCCTAGGTTTGAGTTGCCTTTTTGGAGGGGCATATTACCCTTTTGGACAAGCCCTAGGAAAGACGAATTTACAGAGAGCTGAGGGTTGCAGCAATGCACAATCACTACCTTTGTCCTTTCTCTCACTCTCTCTCTCTCTCTCTCTCTCTCTCTCTCTTGCTCTTTCTCTTTCACCCTCAGGTTTGTTAATTTATGAAGAATTTAGATTCTTTCAACACATCGTGCCAGAATTTTCTTTAGGGAGAAAAAGGAAAACGGATTTTCCAGACTGTTTTCTTGTGGTGGTGATTAGATCTCTTCTGAAGTTTTCCCCAAACCAAATCCTGGTTGGCTATTTATGAAAAAGTCTAATCTTATACTTTTTAATTTTATTTTTGACAGGAATTGGGAGACAAACTGAAATGGTAAGTCTAATCTTGTGATGCTGACCAGGGCGCTGTGAAAGAGATCACGCTGCATTTAACAAAGGGAACACATAACTTACTAGATAATATTACATTGCTTGTGTGTGCATGTGTGGTGCCTGTTTTGCTGAGTATGATTTCCTGTTCCGTTTGAATCAGAACTTAGCATCAGAAGTTTGCTCCTGTGGTTTAGAGAGGTATGTGCTGCAGAGCTCAATGCAGAAGTTTCTAAAAGGCCAGTTTTTTTCTGATTTAAATTTCAAAATCATAAACACACTGAAGTGCAAGGACTAGTACTTCCCAGGCATTAGGTGAGAGAGGCAAGTATCTCCGAGAAATGGGGGTGAAATCAGGTCGTGAATTAAAGTGAGAAAAAATTTCCTAAGAACGGCATGATCCCATCCCATGATTGTGGAGAAAAGGATTTTGATAAGAGAGTTGAGCTGAAGGATGCTGACTTTTTCTTAAAGGCTGTGGTTAAGAAGTCCTGGCCAGCAGAAAGTTTAACCACATCTTCCTCCTTACAGGAGCGAGTCAGCACAGCTGCACATGCCTCAGCCTCTGCTGCCAGAACTCCGTGCACGACCCATCACTGGGCTGATGGACTGGCTCAACCGCTTCCGAGGTGAGTGTCACCCCATCGGTGTGTCCACCCTGAAAGGTCCTTCAGTAATGTTTCCACAGACAATCTTTCCCTCTTCATCTCTCACCTTGTACAGACAGCCTGCAAATAGGCATGTATAGACATATGAGGTCACAGGGTCATTAAAATCCTTACAAAATACACGCAGGCTGGTGCAGGGATAGATGTGATTCAGGCCTTATAAATTACTTATAAATCTGATAAATAATTTTTATAATGAAAAAAAGGACATGATCCAAAAATGGCTCCTTGAGCCCTAGAAATAGCATCACATACAATGTCAGTTGTTCACTGAATTCTAGAAAACGGGTTATTAATCCAGGATATTCCAATTTCAGGGTCTAAGTGCAGTTACTCAGAAGTCAAAAACATTTTTGCTTGAAAGTTTCTTGGCAATTGAATGTATGATGTGTTTTTTTCCATTGATATAATCAGAAAAAAATATATAAGCTACAAAAATTAGATGCAGAGACCAGGATTTGTGACAACAACAAGGAAGCAAATTGGTTGTTGATGAGCCACATAGAGCTTCATGATCAACCTAACTCTGGAGGGTAACGTAGCAGGAAGTGGAAGACTAGGCCTCACGTTGGAACCACATATCAAAGGCGGAAATTCCTACAAGGAAACCACTTTTAAGAAGCCATCCTTAGGCTTTGTTTCTGCAGTGTCCATTTGCTAACTTAACTGAGATGCTAGAATGATCACCAATTCTCTACTCTACAATGTATTTTTTTTTCCCTGAGCAGTGGTAGTGGAGGTGGAGGTGAGTTATATTGTCATGGTCTTGGAGGTGATCAGTGCCTGGTGTCCAGTCTTTTAGATGTCAGGAAAAGTACCCAGCCAGAAGTAGCCATGACCTCCCTATCCTGTATAATCTCTGAATTTTTAGAAAGTGTTTTCCATGCTAACTAGTTATCTGTTTCCTCAGCAGATATCCTGGCAACATTTGAATCCAATGTTTCCAGTTAGAACTGCACTTCTAATAACCTTAAGGTTTTTTTTTGGTTTTTCTCTCCCAGTGAAACCCTAGGTGGACCCTCTTCTCTCATAGACATAATATTATTTTTAACATTGATTTTGACTGGAGTATTCTCTCATCTCTCCACAGTAACAATTTCATTCCATAATGAAGTAAGCAGCCAGCACATCAGGCTGTTTGATGATGCAAGAAGTCTGAAGTATGAGCGTGACAGCCTCTATGTGTCTTTGGATGGCAGAACATCGCAGTATTTTGCTGCATGGGGATCCCGGGGCTTCACCTCTGGCAAACAGTACTGGCAGGTGGATGTGGACGGCTCTTGGGACTGGGCTGTAGGCATCTGTAAGGATTCCTGGACAAGGAAGGATGACGGCATACTGAAGGAATCCAACAGGGACAACTTTCTCCTTGTGTGTGTGAAGGAGGGTCATCATTACCGTCTCTGGACCACCATCCCGAACACTCCTCTGTACACAGAGAAACCTCAGGGCAGGGTTGGCGTGTTCCTTGATTTTGACAGTGGGAGTATGGGTTTTGTGGACGTTGCCAGGCGCTCCCTCCTTTGGAGGTACGAGGATGGCCTGTTCACTTTCCCTGTCAGGCCTTTCATTTGCACTGGCCACAAGTGAGCAGGGCTAAGTCAGGACCTGGACTGGATGCTCAGGACTCCTTCTCTGAGGGAACCCTTCTCAGCTGCAGCAAATCAAGGTTACTTCATTGTCTTTAGGCTCTTTCTACTGCAATGGAACCTCCTTTTATTGCTATTTGTTATAAAGATAGTGTCAAATGCAAACTCTTGTTGGTGTCTTCCATCTTCCTGACAATAAAAGCTTGCCTTATAGACGTTTGTCTGGAATATGTGACGTGGCTGTTCACCTGTGTTGTGAGCTTGCTCAACTCACCAAAGTGTGGGCGTGTGCTTCCCACTTCCTGATACCAGTACAGGAACCCAGGGCTTACACAGCATGGACAGACCTGGTCACCAACCAGACCCACGTCAGCCCCCAACTTTCTCCTCCTTCCTCATGATCTACTCTGTCCTACACATCAATTCACCCTCAGGGTGAAAACCGATTTGACAGAGAAATCTCCACTGACCCTGGAGACGGGGATAAGTCTTCTTTTCTTAGAGAACCCAGAATTTGCAGGTCCCTTACTTTTACAATAATATAAGGGAAAAGACCTAAAGAAAGGAAGTGCCTCATGAGGGGCACTGAACAAATCTTTGCCTGAATAAATTAATAAATAGACAAAACAATTATCTTATTGGAAAGGAGCTTTGCAATAAACGTTAGGGACTAGAATCTAAAAGTTTAAAGTTTCAGGATTTGAAGGTGGATGTCAAAAACTGATTAGATTACACACATTGAGCTTGAGCCCAATTGATTTTTAATTATCTTTGGAAAAGTGCATCTGTGTGTTGGAGGCTCTGTTAGTGTAGATACTAGAAGTGTGAGGGTGATTGTGTGTATTGCAATCAAGGTGGTCTTACATTATTGTTTTATATTATTTTAATTTAACTTAGGATCATCACCTAGGCCACGAAGGATGAGATGGTAGGACAGGGAACATTGTCTGTTCCCATTTTACCATCATACAATAGAGCATTGGTTTTTGATTTAAATGTTGCTGTCCCACACTGAATTGTATATTCACCATTGTAATTCCACCACTAAATATACTTCCTGAATATATTGTGATGAGTTTTTCAATACTGGTTAATTAAATTTACTATCTAGCTTATGTTATAAAACTTACTAGATCCTAGGGCTTCCCTGGTGGCGCAGTGGTTGAGAGTCCGCCTGCTGATGAAGGGGACACGGGTTCATGCCCCGGTCTGGGAAGATCCCACATGCCGCGGAGCGGCTGGGCCCGTGAGCCATGGCCGCTGAGCCTGCGAGTCCAGAGCCTGTGCTTGGCAACGGGAGAGGCGACAACAGGGAGAGGCCCGCGTACTGCAGAAAAAAAAAACAAAACAAGCAAAAAAAACAACTTACTGCATCCTAGTAGCAAGAGCTTCCTGTATTATCTGACATTTGAAATAAAAAGAATCATGTCTTTGGCACTAATTTTACAGATTTCATGTTGAGGAAGGAAGCAAATTGTATAGTTTGCAACATGGTTTTCCAAATACGTTCAACATTTCAGCCAAGGATCGAACCTGCATCCCCTGAGTTGGAAGGAGGATTCTTAACCACTGGACCACCAGGGAGGTCCCTATTTTATTTTTTGATGGTTCCTGAAAGTTATTTTACTTTGAATATACAGGAAAAGAGATCCACAAACGAGAAGCTATGTTCTATGGCTATGTCTTTTAAACAATATTTTGCATTTACAAAATTTTTTTTTCCTGATTAAAAGCACCAGCTGAAGATACAGGCTGCTAAAAATATAAGACAGTGGGCTTCCCTGGTGGCGCAGTGGTTGAGAGTTCGCCTGCTGATGCAGGGGACTCAGGTTCGTGCCCCGGTCCGGGAAGATCCTACATGCCGTGGAGCGGCTGGGCCTGTGAGCCATGGCCGCTGAGCCTGCGTGTCTGGAGCCTGTGCTCCACAACGGGAAAGGCCACAGCAGTGAGAGGCCCGCGTACCACAAACACACACACACACACACTCTCTCTCTCTCTCTCTCTCTCTCTCTATATATATATATATATATATATATACACATATATATATATACATATGTATATAAAAGACATTACAAACCCATTAAAAGAAGTATGCCAAACATGATTATTAAAAACCCTTTAAGGAAACAAAGACAATGCAACCAACAAATTTACCCACTGTGCCCAGTGGCCCTTTCCGATTTCCCTGCCTGCATTCCGAATAACTGGAACTGGGAGTGCTTACCCCAGTGGGAGGACCCTGGCCTCACCGACGGGCAACTGTGAGGACCCAACAGGGGAAGGCAGCTATGCGTCTGTGAGGGAACCTGGCACCCCGGGACCAGTGCCTCCAGAACCTTAGACCCTGAGGGCCCCACTGCCGATAGGACGAAGTGGGAGGCGCACACGAGGGGTCTGACCAGCTTTCAATAATTTACCTGCCAACAGGAATCTTTCTGCTACCCCCTCACACCCCTTTGTGCTTAAAGTTTGGACCTTTACTTATCTGTTTTTTGTAAACACTTAGCTGTATGACACTAGCTGTAATGTCTCCCTGGGGCCTCCCTTGCTGGCTGTCTTAAGTTCTTATGATTGAGAAACTGTGAGGCTCTGAATTTGGACTCACAGGAAGGTATTTACAACAGCTTTATGTAATCGAAAGATGCTGCAGTGAAGGGGAGGGTCAAAGCCCGCACGCACACATGCATGCACGTACACACGGGTTGGCTTCCATAAAGCTAGAGTGGAATATTAAATATCAAGTACTGAATTTTTAACTGTACACTTAAGAACTTATCCTTAACTTTACATATACATAGATAACAGAGTGGTCACTAAACGCACCTTAACATCAGGACAGACGGTAAGTTTTGAGGTTCTTATTTCAACTGTTCTATGTACAAAATGCCCTAGAAGCAAAGAAAGGCTTCAAGAAATACGCAGAGACAAACATGATGTAAAGTGCGACTGGCCTCCTCATAGCGTCCCTGGAAGACGAAGAGCCTAAGCACTTGGAAAGCTGCCGTTAGCCGGCAGTGCGAGCTGACAGGGAAGCTGTGGTCTGCACTGATCCTCTCCGACAAACTGAATAGTACCTCTTGGTGTCTACTTCCTTCCCTTATATACACACTCAACAGGTTGGTCACCATGAAGGCCCACAGCTCCTGGTGACTGGTGAGCCGCAAAGCTGTGGTGAACTGGGCTTTAGCATTGTCCATGCAGTTGACAGAGACACAATACAAGCCCGGCAGTGTATGCTGAGTGGTTGGAGCAGAGCCAGGGGGGTTGCTGGCACAGCTGACACACCTGGGACACCTCCTGCAGTGCAGTGGCCTTATGTCCTGTCACGAGCCTGAACGTGATGATGTGCTCAAGCAGGATTACTTGGAAGGAGGACAGGATGGGGCTGCAGTAGAGCACCTGGAGCTTCTCCAGCTACATGAGGGCCTGCTCTGTGGACTTCTGCACTTTCTCTAAGTAGCCGGCTTGCATGGAGTGCATCACAGTCACCAGGTAGACAAGCAAGCACATGTGTCCCTTGGGCAGCCAGTGGAAGAGGTTGGCGTGGTTGCTGGGCACTATCTTCTCATGTGCAGTATGGAGATGGTGTGGATGCACTGCGGCAGCCGCTTCGGGCACAGCTTCACGCGCTTTACCTGACCAGCACCCAGGTAGTGGGTAACCTGGAGCACCAGGAAGAAGACACACAGAGACTCCTTCTGGATAGGGTTCCCATGCCAGTTCTCAACTATCTGTCCACAGAGAGTCAGCAATGGGTGGACTTCCTGCAACTTACACTGCATCAGCTGCAGCATCCCTTTGCTGAGCAGGACCAGTGGCCGTGTGTACTCAGATCCCACCACATGGAGTGTTCTCGGCCTCCACACTCAGGAGGTTGCAGGCTGACACCAAGTCCTCTTGGTCCTTGGGCCTCATTTGTCTTGGGGGAAGAGGAATAAACTCCTGATTTCCCTCCCTTAGAAAAATGGACACAGACATCCCAGGAGCCTTCCAGAAAGAGCTCACCTGCCTCGTGTGCCTGAATTACCTTCTAGACCCACTCACCATA